GAATTGAGAGCAAACCTGGCTTCAAATCCTGCCTCTGACACAGCTTGGCTGCATGACCCTGGGCAAGTCACTTAATGTCTCTGTGCTCAGGCTACTCTCTAAGACTATATAAGTTGAAGAGAAGGGACTAACCTGCATTAGTAGAGGGAGCTTTCTTACCTGGAAGTTCACTACACCAGTGAAATCTCTGGTTTGCTCCCTCTCCATATTTCCTAGGCCTTAGATCTACTAGAATTAATTCCCCAGCAGCAGGTGCAGATTGTCTGTGTTCAGATCCATTTATCTGCCTGGCATGGCAGGCTTGACATTCCCCCTTCAGGGAGGCTGAGTCTCAGGTGGGCTTCTGCATCTCCACTTGTGTCCATCTGTGCCATGGCAGCCCAGGAGCAGGCTGCAGGTGCCCAATTCCAGATCTACGCATGCTGGCCTTCTTTTGGAGAACATGACTGTGACGTGATGTTGGCCAGTATGTCCAGTCACAGGAAATATGTATGCATGCCAGGGACCTAGTGGAATGGCCAGAAGACTTCTAAGACTCCGGCTAACTCCTCTCCATTCCCAACAAATGCAGCCCCCAACCCAAAACAAAAACAACCCCTCTAGCCCAAACCTTGGAGAGTCTTTTGCTGCCCTGAAGACACTCTAGAACAGGGATTCTTAACCTAATTCATGTCATGAATTCCTTTGCAATCTGGTGAAGTCTGTGGGCCCCTTCTCAGAAAATGGCTTTAAATAATTAAAGGAAATGCTAAATTTCTTTCTTTTCTAAAAAAATTTAAATTTATTTTTTATAATTTATTTTGAATGATTGAAAATCACTTCCATAAGCTTTTGAGTTTTGAATTTTTCTCCCTCTCTCTCCCCACCTTCCTCCCCAAGATGGCATGCAATCTGATATAGGCTATACATATACATTCCTATTAAACATATTTTCACATTAGTCATGTTGTAAGGAAGAATTAGAACCAATAGGAGGAACCACAAGAAAGAGGAAACAAAACAAAACAGAAGAAAAAAAAGGAGCAAATAGTATACTTCAATCTGCATTCAAACTCCATAGTTCTTTCTTTGGATGTGGATAGCGTTTTCCATCATGAGACTTTTGGAGATTTCTTACCTTGCTGAGAAGGGCTAAATCTATCAATGTTAGTCATTGCACAACGTGGCTATTACTGTGTACAGTGTCCTGATTGTACTCACTTCACTCGGCATCAGTTTATATAGGTCTTTCCAGGTTTTTCTGAAGTCCATCTGCTCATCATTTCTTATAGCACAATAGTATTCCATTACATTCATATACCACAACTTGCTCAGCCATTCCCCAATTGATGGGCATCCCCTCAATTTCCAATCTTTACCACCACAAAAAGAGCTGCTATAAATATTTTTGTACATGTGGGTCTTTCTTCCATCTTTGTGATCTCTTTGTGATATAGCCCTAGAAGTGAAATGCTAAATTTCAGTTAGAGGTCAATGTAAATAAATATGTAATTTTTTTAAATGTAAGTTAGCAGAGTCCCTGAAATCTACTCCTGATTTCCTTGGGGGCACAGTCTATGATCCCCAGATTAAGAATTCCCATTCTGGCTAAGTCTAAGACCATTAAGTTCTATCAATTGTCAGGCTAGACTGCCAAAGAGCTGGCCTCAATTTGAGGATGCTTAGAGGTCCTACAAGAAAGAACAGAAGGTCCTGGAAGCAAGTGGAGTCAACTGTCCCACCCACCATCAGCAAAACCAGCAAAAATCCCATGTTGTTTGACCAAATGGGATGTAGACTTCCAGGATGCCTGGTGCACATCAAACTGCTCATGGCCTTTTTTCCCTGGGGACTCCCTCCAGCTTGGCCAAGGTAACTCTTGTGTCATCCCATCCATTGGGATAGACTTCCTGCTGGACCACCTGCTATGTCACTGGGAAGGAGCTCTGAGGCATCCACCTTCTGTATGTGCTGGCTCAGGCAAGAGGCCATGGTGGAACACACACCTGAAGGTTCCCTTCAGGAATCTCTGTTAGGATTTGCTTGAGAATGCACCTGTCCTGGGAGAGGCCTTTTTAGGTGATTTCTCCAGGGCTATTCAAAAGGAACTAGCCAAGATGGCGGAAACTACCGATCTATCCGCAAACTGCGTTGTTAGAGTTGTCCTTTGCTGAGCTTGGAGTCACAGAGCCGGGAGTGTGATTCTTGGCTCTGCCTTTTGTTGTCTGCGTGACCTTGGGTAAGTCATCTGTCTCTGATGGGCCTCAATGAGGAGGTTGGACTGGATGACCTCTAAAGTCCCTCCCAGCTCTCAATCTATCATCCCAAAGCTTTTGGTTGGACCATCCCAGTCCTTTCAGTCTTTGCCCTGACCACCTGCTTATAACATAGCATCCATAAGGGAGAGCCAGTACAGCTCGAGGGGCATGGCTTGGGTTTACTCTGCCACAAGGGCCTTGATTACAACCCAAGGATAGTGTCAAACCTGTAGACAGGTTTGTCATCACTCATTTGGTGGATCCTTCAAGGAATTGGCCCAGTTGTGTGGGCTGATGTGACTCCCACACCCAAAGGAGGACCAGTCTCCAATGGATGCCTGAAACTCCACTCACAAATGTCATTCTCCTCTCTAAAAGCCTAATAAGTCTTGATCTGCCCTTGCCTTGACAGGTCCAGGGATAGGATACACTTGGTTGTTCAGTCATTTTTCAGTCATGTCCAACTCTTCATGACCCCATTTGAAGTTTTCTTGGCAAAGAACTAGAGTGGTTTTCCATTTCCTTCTCCAGCTCATTGTACAGATGAGGAAACTGAGACAAACAGAGTTTGGTGACTTGCCCAGGGTCATATAGCTAGTAAATATCTGAGGCCAGATTTGAACTCAAGGAGATGAGTCTTCCTGACTTCAGGCCTGGCATTCTATGCACTGTGCAATCTAGCTGCCCTCTAATAGGATGCATAGACCTATTCAAAACATGGCCTTAGCCAGGATGGAGACTCCTGGACTGTGTCTTTAATCCTGACCTCTCACTCTGAGCTCCAGACCTACACCTTGAGCTGTCTATAGGATACCACTATTAGATGTTTCACCAGCTTATCAGACCCAACATGTCCAAAGCCAAGGTCATTATTTTTCTACCTAAACCTGCCTTTCCTTTTGATCTCTCTCTGTGTCTCTCTGTCTGTCTCTCTGTCTCTGTCTCTCTCCCTCTCTCTTTTCCCCATTTGCCTTGTCTTCCTTATCAATAGGTCATTGTTATTTTTGACTCTTCTTCATCACCTCTCATGTTCAATCACGAAGTCTTGCCAATCCCATATCTACAATATCCTTCACACTAGATGTCTCTGTTATTTCAACCTTTGCCATCCTAATTCAGATCTCATTGCCATCCACCTGGGCTATTCCAGCAGCCTCAATAGTTCTTCCTGATTCTACTTTTGCTTCTTTCTGATCCATTTTTCACAGCTCAAATAGAATAATATTTCTTGCCCATAGATTTTGTCATATTGCTTCACTCCGTACACTGAAAATCTTTTGTGGCTCCCTATTGTCTAGAGAATAAAATTCAAACTCTACGACTTGGTATTCAAAGCCCTCCATATTCTGGAATCAGTCGACCATGCCAGTCTTATCTCATATAACTCTCCATATATTCTAAACTCCAGTCAAACTGGACAATTCTCTGCCTCCTTAATCCAATTCAATAAACATTTAAGTGCCTACTGTGTGCCAGGCATTATGCTAAGCACTGGGAATACAAATAAGAAAAAGAGATAGTCTCTTCCCTCAAGGAGCTTAAGATCTATTGGGAGAAGGCAACACCCAAGAGGATGAGGAGGGCCACCAGGGAGTACTCAGCATGGGGGTGTAGTGTTCCATAGAGTCAAAGCCATGCATGGCTCCAAGACTTTGTGTTTCTGTTCTAGCTGTTGTTTTTTTTTTTTAATCCCTTTCTTTCTCCTCTTCACATGTTGAATCACTACACTTCTTAAAGTCCAACTTAAATAATACCTCTTCCAGGAAGTCTTTCCTGGTCTCTCAGTGAGTAATGACCACCTCCCTCAGGCCATACTGAATTTTTTGTTTTGTAATTCTCCAGTGAACTTATATTTTACTATTGCACTATATACACTTTACTATTCCAATCAATCTGTGGGCTCATCAATATGAATATTCCTTCCAGTGATGAAGATTGTAACTCATCCACATCTGCCCAGTTGTGTGTTATAGCAAACAATTAATAAGTATTTATTAGACTTCTACTATGTGCCAGGCACTGCTACAATTACTGCATTGGTGTTTCATCCCTTTGCTATACTGTGAGCCCTATGAAAAACAGGACTGTATCTTCTTCTTCTTCTTCTTCTTCTTCTTCTTCTTCTTCTTTCTTCTTCTTCTTCTTCTTCTTCTCCTTCTTCTCCTTCTTCTTCTTCTCCTCCTCCTCCTCCTCCTCCTTCTTCTTCGTCTTCTCCTCTCCTCCTCCTCCTCCTCCTCCTCCTCCTCCTCCTCTTCCTTCTCCTCCTCCTCCTCCTCCTTCCCTCTTCCTCCTCCTCCTCCTCCTCCTTCTTCTTCTTCTTCTTCTTCTTCTTCTTCTTCTTCTTCTTCTTCTTCTTCTTCTTCTTCTTCTTCTCCTTCTTCTTCTTCTCCTTCTTCTCCTTCTCCTTCTTCTCCTTCTCCTTCTCCTTCTTCTCCTCCTCCTTCTCCTCCTCCTTCTCCTCCTCCTCCTCCTCTCTCCTCCTCCTCCTCTTCTCCTCCTCCTCCTCTTCCTCCTCCTCCTCCTCTTCCTCCTCCTCCTCTTCCTCCTCCTCCTCTTCCTCCTCCTCCTCTTCCTCCTCCTCCTCTTCTTCCTCCTCCTCCTCCTCCTCCTCTTCTTCCTCCTCCTCCTTTTTCTTCTTCTCTTCACAGGACTGAGTCCCAGGTGGCTCTGGTTCCCAAGAGAATGTAGGTAAGTCAGTTGGTTGAAGCCCCTAATGTCAGATCTCACAGGCTCTGTTCTTCCTTATCTTGCCTTTCTCCAAAGGTGGCTATTGTGGTGACAGATGGGCGGCCTCAGGATGGTGTGAAGGATGTCTCAGCCAGAGCTAAGGAGAGTGGCATTGAGCTCTTTGCCATTGGCGTGGGTCGAGTGGACAAGCACACCCTGAGGCAGATTGCCAGTGAGCCACTGGAGGAGCATGTGGACTACGTGGAGAGTTACAGTGTCATTGAGAAACTATCCAAGAAGTTCCAGGAGGCCTTCTGTGGTGAGGAGGAGGCATCTGGGCAAAGGGAGTAGATGAGAGAGGGGAGGGTTGGAGAATAAAGTGGAGGGAGGAGCAGGGTGCAGATAAGAGGAATGGTGGGAAGATCAGGGAATGGGGGAGAGTGAAAGGAGGTGCAGAGAATGGAGTGGAGGGAGGAGCTGGGAATGGAAAGGAGGAATCAAGTGGGAAATACAGCACAGAGGAGGGTGTGAAGGCAAGAGGAAGTAGGTGAAAGGAATGGTAGGGGAGCAGGGGAAAGGGGGAATGGGTGGGGATTAAGGGAAAGAAGTGGGGAAAGGAGTAGAAGCAACAGCAGGGTACAGATAAGGAGAATAGTGGGAAGAGGATGAACAGCCAGGAGGAATGAGGGATAAAGGGCGGGGTATGGAGGAGCAAGAAACACATGAGAGGAATGGTTGGGGTAATAGGGAAGAGGGAAAGAAAGGCATGCATAGGGAACAGAAAGGAGGAGTGGGGGGAAGAGCAGGGAAGAAAGAAGGAATGGTATAGGGGAAGGGAACAGAGGGGAGTAGAGGGAGGAGCAGAGAACAGAGGGGAGGAGCTGAGAGTGCTCCAGAAAGACTTCTGTAAAGGCTCTGACCCTTTGGAATTGCAGTGCTCCAGCATCATCCCCTCTTTTTTTTTTATGGGGGGTCAGGGGTCAGGGGTCAGGGGATGTTGTTGGATCCTGCATTGCTAGGAGGTATCCTTGAATATTTTCTCCACCTTTAAACTAACAAGGTCCTCAGGAGACCTGGATTCCAGGTATGGCTCCTACCGTGTGAATTTAAGCAAATTGTTTGCCCTCTGTGAGTGTCAGCTTCCTCCTCTGTGAAGCAGGGATGCCAATTCCTGCCCTCCCCAACCTTGCAGAGACACCAAAGCAATTTTTAAAAGGATAAAACACTGCATAAGTATAAGGAAAGAGAAATCTCTATAGAAAACCAAGCCCATATCTTTTCCTGCTCCCTTGGGCTTTCTCTGAAGCTCGGGTAGGGCTGGAAGGCTCAGGAGAATTCCATTCTATTCCATGAACATTTACAAAAGGTGTGCTGTGCTCAGAAATTTGTTCAGACCTGGGAGAGATGCAAAGTTTATATAAAATCGGGTCCCTGCTCTCACGGAGCCCACAGCCCAGGAGGGGGATGAGATGCAAATACAGAGAAACCCAAGGCACAACAGACCAGGATAGGTGCATTAGAGGGGTGCCAAGAAAAATACAGCAGGAAATTTGAGGGGGAAGAACCTTACTGGCAGAAGGGATTAGGGAAGGCTCTTTGGAGGAAGTAGAGTTTAAGTAGGGCTTAATTCAAGCCTGTGGGCTTGAATTCAAGAGAGGAAGAGGAGGTGGAAGAGCATTCCTCCAGGCATATGAAACAGTGTTAGTGAAGATCTGGAGGTGAGGAAGTGCTGAGCATGGGTGTGTGAGGCAGGACATAACTCAGCTTAGCTGGAATAGAGAGCACAGTGTGTGTGTGTGTGTGTGTGTGTGTGTGTGTGTGTGTGTGTGTGTGTGTGTGTGATATGAGGAAAGAAGGAAGGAGGAAAAGAAAGGAAGGAAAGAAGGGAAGAAGGAGGGAGGGAAGAAAAGGGAAAGAAGAAAGAAAGGAACAAGAAAGACAAAAAGGAAAGAAAGGAGGAAAGAAGGAAGGAAGGAAGAAAGAGAAAGAAAGAAACAAACAAACAAAGAAAAAATGATTGTCCTGGATCATTCAAGGGATACCAGAGAAAAGGAGAGAGGTGGATAGTCAAGCTCAGAGTCCATCACCCCTGCCTTCACTGTGACTAAGAACCCCCCACCCGTGAAGTCACTGTTTTCTTCTCTTGTAGTGGTATCTGATCTGTGTGCCACCGGAGATCACGATTGCCAACAAATCTGCAACAGCTCCCCTGGCTCCTACACCTGTTCCTGCCAGGATGGCTTCATCCTGAACAGTGATGGGAAAACCTGCAGTGGTCAGTGTCCCTAAACACCCCCATCCCCTGGTACCTGGAACAGAGTGGGAATGAGGAGGGTGTCACACATTGGGACACTAAGTGGGGAGAGAGACAGAAGGTCCTGGGTGGAGGCCAGGGCTGATGTGTCTAGGATAGGGGGTGTCTACACTGGACTCACATTATAGCAGCCTGAGGAAAAGAAGGGCACCCATGACTTTCTTCTAGTTGGCCCCAAGATGCAATGCAGACAGAAGCTCTGGGGCTAAGGCTCAGGGTGCTTTCCCTGTGAAGTGGATTCCTCATCTGCTGTGCTCCGTGGTCTTGTTAATTACCAGCATCTTTCTGTCCCCAGCTGCTCATCACACAGAGCTAAGTGCCAGGCATAGGTGCGTCACAGGGTGTTGTTAGGAGAACTGGGCTTGTCTATCCCTCTTCAGGCCCTACACAGGAGGAAAGGTGCTGGTAACCAGAGAGGAACATTTAGATCTTAAGCCCATGGCTTGAAAGAAGCCAGGTGGTGTGTTGGGATATAAAGCTTCTCACAGCTGGGTGGGGCAGAGGATAGAGTGTTGTACTTGGAATCAGGAAGACCTCACTTCAAATCATGCCTCAGACCCTTACTAGCTGTGTGGACCCTAACTAAATCTCTTTTTTTTAATTTTCAGTTTTTTCATCTGTAAAATGGGGATAATAATAGCTTCTCCCTCATAGGGTTGTGGTGAGAATCCAATGAGTTAACACATGAAAGTGCTTGGTAAATCTGATGTAGCTGCTGTTATGGTTAGGCTTCATGAAAGTGCTCATGGGGCTTTATGTTGAGAAATGGAAGAGGGGATGATTCAGAGCTGGCCAGGGCTGGGTTGGGGGTAAGAAGAAGCAATGGAGGTTCTGGAAACTAATTGCCAGGCTGGACTCATTGACTCATTGAGCTAGAAAGGCCCTTTGAGACCATCTAATCTAAACACCTTATTGTTATAGATGAAACTGATTTGACCTAAAACCATGTGTCTTTCCCCATAGCAGAGGGTTCTGTTAAGGCATTAGTCATTAAAAATTGAAGTCAGTCATTCTTTAGTGAGAGGAAGAAAGAGCCTTTATTGACTCAGACCATCAATCATGGTCCCAGAAATACATCCAGGCAGGATCAGGCCAGGATGGCAGCAAAATAGTGGATTCATAAAAGTGGGTATTCTAGGTAATGCCCTCTCCACCTTCCTTCTCTGTTTGCAGTCATACTTTTCCCACCAGCTCCCTTGTATTCTCCCTGAGTGCTCCTTTCTCATTCACCCAGGGAAAGGAGATGGTGAAGTACTAAATCAATGATCCCCCAGGGATCTGTAATTAGAAAGATGATTGAAGGGGGCCGTGCTTAACTTAACAGGATGAATATTTAACAATGGTGGAATTTCAGGCAGTGTAACACATGTAGGAGAGAGATTTGGGGAGCTGTGAGACTTTCCTACTAGCTTTCACATTACCATATAGACAACTACCTGCTCTACCAATGCAGAAAGCTGGTTGCAGGACCATTTTGGGTCTGGCTGTCCCCCTAACTGGTCAATAAAGGTCTCATATAATCTCCCTGAGATCCTCTCTCTTATTCCCCACCCCCCTTCTCCAGCCTGCAGTGGAGGCGGTGGAGGCTCTGCCACTGACCTCGTCTTCCTGATCGATGGGTCCAAGAGTGTCCGCCCTGAGAACTTTGAGCTGGTGAAGAGGTTCATCAACCAGATTGTGGACTCGCTGGATGTGTCCGACGAGCAGGCACAGGTGGGCCTGGTGCAGTACTCTAGCTCAGTCCGCCAGGAATTCCCCCTGGGTAGGTACAAAACCAAGAAGGACATTAAGGCAGCAGTCAAGAAGATGTCCTACATGGAGAAGGGCACCATGACTGGGGCAGCTCTGAAGTACCTCATTGACAACACCTTCACCATCTCCAGTGGGGCACGGCCCGGTGCCCAGAAGGTGGGCATCGTCTTCACTGATGGCCGGTCCCAGGATTACATCAATGATGCAGCCAAGAAAGCCAAGGAGCTTGGTAGGACCCCACTGCCCTTCCCAGTGGGCTGCTTATCTTTGCCTGTCTTAGAAGTTGTTTCATAGAACCATAGATTTAGGGTGGGGAGGGATTTTAGATCCTCCTAGATTTTAGATTACAGATCCCTAAAATCTAACTCAACTCCCTCATTTCATACCTGAGGGAGCTGGAGCCCAGAATGTTCAGATAGCTACCTGAGATCACACATGGAGTAAGTAGCAAAATTAAGATTTAAATCCAAGTCTTCTGACTCTAAAGTAATTATTCTTTTTATTATAATCTACTACCTCCCCTGCCTACCTTTCTGCCTACCTCCCTTCTACCTTTCTCCCTCCCTCCCAATCCCCATTGATTGGACATCCATGGTTCCAGCACCCTAAAGGACATTGCCCTTATCTAATCCATACACTCAACCCACTTGAGTTGACTCCGTTCTGGCTTATTGAAGTTTTGGGGGATATGCAGGTCTGAAGTCAGAGTTGGGAGTGAGAGGGGCTACGGTGGTTGGGGGTAGGGCTATCAGTATTGGTTTCATTCCAGGTTTGGTATGGGAGCTTTGTCAGTCATCCGGTCAGAACCACATATGATAACAACCTTTGCTGACCAGAACCCAAATAAGCTGAACCTCAGTTATCTGAATATCCCCTCCCTGCACTCAACTTTTAGGGAAAAAAAAATCAAATGGTATGAAAGCCACCTGGGATCATGGGTTTTGTCAAGAACAAAAACCCCCCAAACATTTCCAGGGTGTGTCCTAGGACAAAGAATGGCAGGAAGTTAGAGCTGGAAGAGATGACCCAGCCCAATGCTTTCATTCTATGTCTTAAGGACTAGTATGGATGGGGCCTCATGTCCTGTGCCTTTTCCATCTCCAGCCCTGGACCAAGTGACATCTGGTGTTCATGGTGCCGACCTGGATGTCCCTTTCTTGACCCTGATTCATCAGAGAAAGGTTCAGTGATGGAAACAAAACTCTTAGGTCACAAGAGTTTGAGCTGAAAGGAACCTCAGATGTCATTATTAAAAAAAAATAATATTTCATATTAAATTAGTGCTTTACGTCAATTATCTCACTTGAGCCTTGCAATAACTCTTTGTGCCTTGAAGGTAGTCCAAGTATTATTGTCTCCATACCATAGGAGAGAAAACTGAGGCTAAAACTGAGGCAATTGGGGTGTCCAGGGTCATATGGCTAACATGTGACAGAACCCTTGTAATAATAATGATGATGATGATGGTGGTAATGATGATGAAGATGGTGATGATGATGATATTAATAATACTGATTGGCATTCATTTTGTGCTTTTATATACTATCTCGTTTGAGCCTCTTGTCACATATCTACCTTTTCAGAGAGACTCTACAAGTGTTATGAAGCTTATTTTATAGATAGAGAAACTGAAGTAAGAGAGGTTAAATAATTTGTTCATGTTCACACATCCAGGAATTGTCCAAGATAGGATTTGAATGGAGGTGTTCCTGAATCTAAGATTAGCCCTCTAATCTAATCTAATATCACCTAATGCTGCTTTGGCTAAACGAAGGGGAAAGTGGTCATAGGTTTGGATTCAGGAAGGGGATTTTAGTTTCCAGAAGGGAGGAAACCCCAGGTGGAAATTTCTTAGAAACGCTATCACTCTCACATAGGAACGTAGAGAATGGGTGAAGGAAAGGGAAGATGAGGTACCTGATCTTAAACCCACAAATCAAGGAGCATTTCTATCTGCCCAGTCCAGTGCTAGGTACCGAGGGGTATGTGAGGAAGGAACTTGGGTCTCATTGAAAAGCCAAGGCATGCATTGGCAATAGCAGACATTGGTAATAACTGATGTTTACATAGCTCTCTCTATTGGAGTGATATTGTATGGACAAAATGGTCCACTCTAGGGTCTAAGTGCTGGGGGCTGATGGTAGGAATCGGTTAAGGAGGAGATTGTTGATAAATGATCAAGTGAAATAATGTATATAAAACTCTTTGTAGATGCTAAAGCTCTCTATAAATGTCACTTATCACTGCTATTGTCTTCCTGTAAATGGAAGGGGATTTGGACTGGAGTAATCTGGGGTGGCTTCCTGGAAGAGGTTGGGGAGTCACTGGAAAGCAAGGCTGATGCTGTGGGGATTCTTCTGTGATTGTATAGTGATGATGAGATGGAACCTGGGGGCCAGGCCCAACTTTGCAACTTACTAGCTGTGCCTTGTGTTTCCTGATCCCTAGAACCCTTCATCAGGGGATATAGCTCAGAGAGAAGCCGGGGGCATAGAGGGAAGGACCTCAAAACACCTGACTTTCAGGAAGTCTGCCTTCTTTAAACCCTCTATAAGGCTGCTGCTTTACTCTACAACCATCTTTCCTTTAAAAAAAATATTATTGATGCTTTCTGTTTCAATATCACAATCATTTGTAAGTTTCTGCCCTCCCCCCTCCCACCTTCATAAATCCTCCCCTGTAACAAAAAGTAACAGGTAAACAAATCTGACCAATAAAATGCCCATGTCTGAAAGTGCATGCAATATTTAGCCCCCATAGGCCCCTACCTCTCTACCAAAAGAAAGGTGCTTGTTCATTTTTTCTATGATTCCATGCTTCTTCCCCATACACATTCATTCTGGAAAAATGTTGCCTATGATATTTGACATCTTCTAATAGTGCGGCCCTGTTGAAGCTGTTTCCTTCTGGGAAACAAAGAAGTCTTTTCTCCAGGGCACCATGTCTGCCATCCCCTTGGCTTAGCTCTGTGGGCCAGGTGACTCTTTTTCTCCCAGTAACTGGGACCATGGGAACCTCCAGTGAAGGGGCAAGTCTTCTGCTCCATGGTGGGAGGGTCAGGCAAGCACAGCTTTGGCCCTGCCCTCAGGAGGCATGACCTCTCTGCTCCTCTCAGGGTTTAAGATGTTTGCTGTGGGTGTTGGCAATGCAGTGGAGGACGAGCTGAGGGAGATTGCTTCAGATCCTGTGGCAGAACATTACTTTTACACTGCCGACTTCAGGACCATCAACCAGATTGGCAAGAAACTTCAGAAGAAGATTTGTGTGGGTGAGTTGGAGGGATGGGAGAGGTGGCCTGGACATTGGAGAGGGGCACCTCAGCCCAAGCCATGTCAAATCTGAGGGTTATGTCATGTTGTCATCGGAGTGGTGAAAGAACTGGAAGTGGGCAAGGCCAAGGCCAAGAGTTCATCTAGAGAGGAGGAAGGCTGGCAGGTACCATCATGGGGTGGGTTGTGGACAGGCAAGGTCCAAAGTCCAGGAGGTCAGGCAACAGGCCTTAGACCCCAGGTTGAGAGACTGGGGAAGAGAGTTGGGCAGCCACGGGTTGAGGCTTGAGAGTCTGGGAAAGAAGAGATAAGGGTCATAGGGTCCATAGGTTACCTGGCATAGCCCAGCCTTGTACAGGTGGGTGAAAAGCATTGAATAGTGGGTGGGGTTCTGGTCTAGCTCCATCCTGCCATATTGATTTATCTCAGTTTGTCTGGAGGGATCATCAGCAGCCCCCACTTGTCTGTATCACCTATTTAGTTTGACCCGAGAATTAGCAAATGACCCTATCAAGGTCGACAACATATTTCTTGAACTAGAGTCTCCCCTAGGCCTGTGCTGTCACTCAGAAGGACTCCCAACATCTTTCTCAGCTCTTCTCTAACACTCCCAGGGACTACATCTATCTCTCTTAGCATTCACAGGAACTCCCAGCATCTCCCTTAACACTAAGGATGACTCAGTCTCCCCTTCACTTCTCTCCCTCAGTTCTAACAGGCACTGCCTGCATCTCCCTTAACACTCACAGGGAAGCTCACCCCCTCTTTCAGTTTTCCCTTATCAATGACAGGGACTTTGGCATCGCCCCTAACACTCACAGGGTCTTCAAGCATCTCCCTCTGCTCTGTCTCATCACTCCCAGTGACTCCCAGTGTCTTTCTCATCCCAGCCAAAATTTCCAACACCTTTCCACTACTTTAACCCAGCAATTGCTGGGACACTCAGTATCCTCCCAGCTTTTAGAGAAATTCCTGGGATCTCTGCTTTAGCTTTCACAGAGACTCCCAGGGTCTGCCATGGCCTGCATTGCTGGTTAGAAGCCTAGCCTTGGACAGGACCTGAAGAAGGGAGGGGTGGTGGAGGCCAGCTGGATTGTAGCTTCATCTCCTTTTTGTTTTGGATTTGATGCAGAGGAAGACCCATGTGCCTGTGAGTCTGTCGTGAAGTTCCAGACCAAGGTGGAGGAGCTCCTTCAAGCCTTGACACAGAAACATATCCTTTCCTAGTGGGAGTGGATCAGATATGTGAGAAAGGGTCAGGGTGGGACCAGAAATGGAAGACCCAGGCAGCTCAGGCAGAAGGAGCATGGAATAGGGGCTGGATCCTCTCATTAGACTCTCTTGGCTGCCTCTGAGATCACCAGGCTTCAAATTAATTCAATCCAATTCAATTCAACAAGCATTTATTAAGAACCCACTTCTCTAGGATGCTTTTCCTGATTCCCCTAATTGACAGTGTCCCCTAATTACCTTATATTAAACTACCCTATATTTATTCTGTATGTGTATCTCTCTGTGTTTCTCTCTCTCTCTGTTTTTCTTTTTCTGTCTCTCTCTATTTCTGTTTCTTTCTCTCTGTCTCTCTCCCTGCCTCCTGCTCTCTCTCTCTCTCTCTCTGTTTTTCTCTCTCTCTCTTTCTCTGTCTCTTTTTGAAGTCAGGAAAACTTGAGTGCAAATTCTCTGTGGGACATGTGCTGGTTATGTGACCTGTATAGCTTTAAGACTCCAGATGGCCAATAAAGCACCAACCTGCATTGGGAGAATGAGCCCCCTGTGCTATTGAAGTAACAGATCCAGGCCCTATATCTCTCCCAATGTATCTGTTTTCTTACTCCCAATAGACTGTAAGGGCATCTTGAGCATGGACAATCTCATTCTTTATTCCCCGTATCCTGAGGACCTAGTACAGAGCTTGACTGTAGTAGGTGCTTAATAAATGCTTATTGATTAATTGATTGAATTAGGAATGCAAAGACAGTTGGAGTCGATGTAAAAGGCATTTGGATGGTAGTGTGGGAGAGATGGGCTCCCTCCTTGGTGTCCCTGGGAAAGCATGCTTGTGTGTGCTAGTGTGGGAGCAGGCCTTGAGCCGGTGAAACCATCTTCGGACGGCAGGTGCAGAGGGGGCTTGGCCTTAGGTTAGTCTGGTTTGTCATATGCCCGAAGGGTGCGATTCTGAGGTCTTGCTCCACTTTCTGTGTGATCATAACCTCTCTGGGCCTCATTTTCCTAATCTGCAAAATGGGGGAGTTCTGCCGCTAAGGAAGAGACAGGAATTGGACACCAATGAACCAAGGGTTGATGGGTAGTCTGGGGAAGCATCAAAGCACTGGAGATGAGAGTGGAAAAGCCAATGGGAAGAGCACAGAGGAAGGGGGAGGGGAGGAGTTCACTTCCATTCCAAGGGTGTTGTGGCTGGACCCCGGTTGTCCTTCCTTAATCGTGCTCACTGGAAGCTGTGACCAAGCGGCTTGCTGCCCTGGAGAACAATGTAATCTAGGATTCTTTGAAGAAGGCCTCATCTCTCCTTTCTGTTCCTCCTGGTTTTCCTCCTTCACATACCGTTACATGCTGAGGAACCTATGCCTGAGAGCAGCTCAGCCACCTCCTCCATCCATCTTTCTGTAGCTGAGAGTCTAGCCTCACTAACATCCTCCTCTTGGGGGAGATGATGGGGGCTGGGAGACTGGGATGCTGGGGGTAGGGCTCTTGGGGGTGTAGGCCAGCCTGGCCAGCCTCTTCATCTAGTGTGCATCTAGAAACCCTGGAAAGAGGTGTGAGTGTGTGTATGTGTGTGTGTGTGTGTGTGTGTGTGTGTGTGAGTGTATGCATCTGTGTATGTCCAAAGGAGTTTTGATTTTCATTTTTTACTATCCAAAGCTTAATATATTCCCATATTTTGGGTCAACACGGACTTGACTATGAGTTCTGTGGACCCTTTGGTGACGTCCCATTTTCTCTTTATAGAGTGATTCTATATAACTTAAGTGTTAAATGTACACGGTGGGGGACTGAGTTTCTGGCTGAGAAGAAGATAGGACTCATTGGAATACTTGTAAGGAGGGATTCCTTTGACACTGGTCTGGGTTCCTGCAAAGAAGAAGAAGACATGCCCAGATCTAACGGAGGCTCTTGGGCTCCTTGTCAGTCCAGAGATTGGGGGGACCCATAGTGAATATGTCCAGGGAATTCAATTCAATTCAATTCTAGTTTAGTTCCATTTAACAAGTATTTACTAAGTACTTATCGTGTGCCAGGCACTGTGCTGGGTATTGGTCTCAAAGACAAAAATGAAACATTCCTTCCTCCCAAAGAGCTTATGTTCCACAGGAAAGTCCCTAGCATATACCCGCCACTTGAGGGCTGCTGGCCCCCTAAGATGCGTTCTCGGTCTTCATTCTCAGTAGGATTGGCATCTTGGTGCTCAGGCACCACAGGTGGTGGTCAGCATCGTACAGCTGCTGTGGTGGGCCTTGCTGCCACCGCCATCCCTACTCCATCCGCAAGATGTACCTCCTGCCTTCCCCGCTGTCTCCCATGCCCACCCCAGCTACCACAGGAGGGACGGAGAAGGACGACCCCAACCTCAACTCCCCTTATTCCACATGCTGTACTCTGTGTAGTCAAGTCAACAAGCACTTATTAAGCACCTACTATGTGCCAGGCAGTGCTCTCAGTACTTGGCAGACACTGCCCTTCCACTGCTCTCATTGTGGAGATGGAGGCTCTGGACCCTGGCCTCCAAACCCTGCCTCCAGGGGTCCCTTCCTCATATCTGCACCATTTCCCCGTGTGCTCCTCAGGACACAACAGATTCCCCTCTTTTGGTCCTGCTTGGTCTCATGTTTCAGGCATCAGAATATTTATACTTCAGTATACGTAAAAGATTTTTCAGAGTATCTCCAACTGCGTAGAAACGTCCTGTTCAGGGCCGATCTAGGGCGGCAGAAATCATTAAAGATTCCCAAGCCCCAGCTAGTCTCGGTGTCCTTGATGTTACAACCTTACTCCTCGTCCTCCGGGTTTTAAATACCTCCTTCTCCTTCTCAGTCAGCAAGCATTTATTAAGCACTCACATGCTGGGCCTGGTTGGTGCTAAGTGCTGGAAATATAAAGCAAAAAAACAGCCCCTGCCCTCATGGAGCTCACAGTTTAGTGGGGGAGACAGCATGCAGACAGCTGTGTAAAACAAGAGATATACAGGTTACATGGGGAGAAGGCAGTAGCTGCTGGATTTATATCAAAGTGACCAAATTATTGATTTTTTGAAGGATTTGAAGAAGGGAACTCTTCATCACACTGGGAAGAGGAGAAGAGGGTCCACCTCGTAGACGAGGCATTCCTGTCCAGTGCTGGCTTCTATTTGCCAGTCCCTTCTCTCTAAGAGAACCCCTAGGGTCCAGGGGTGGGGAACCCGTGGCCTCAAGGCCAGATGTGGCCCTGTAGATCCTCAGGCGTGGCCCTTTGACTGAATCCAGGTTTCACAGAACAAGCCGCAGGTTCCCCACCCTGCCTAGGCTTTTTCCTACGGCTCCTTTTAATAATCCAACATTGGCCAAGCACTGACTAGAGGCAAAGTTTGTGTTTGGTGCTTGGGAGTGGGGATGGGGGAGTCAAAGCCGTGAGAGGTTCCCTCCTCCCCTATCAGGGCCTTCATTTTCTGAGCATTTGGGGCTAAGGAGGGGATGCACAGTCTAAGTTGAACCAGACGTTTCCTCTTCAGAAAGCCTCATCAGCCCATGACAAGGCTGATATACTTCACCTAGAAGGATGGTTTCTCCAAATACGAATGAATTCAAAACAATTTTGCTGCCAGGAAATAGAATTAAGTACAACAATTTCTTACCATTATTTTGGACGATGCACTGGGTTCCATACCCTGTACCCTCCTTCCCCAGTTAGGAAGGTTGTATTATTCACTGCCTGCACCCTCTGGCCCCCCCCTGCTTTTTTTTTTTACTTCCTGTAGAGCCTGGGGAAACAAATTAGTTAATGTGCTTTGAGCTCTCTGGAGAAAAACATAAGGGTGTGTAATCACACTCAGTAATCACCACTTTGTTCCTCTGTGGCCCTGGGCCATGATGGATGGGTGTGGGCCCGGTGGTGGTAGAACCAGCTGGAGGGTGGGCCTTCTCTTCCCTGGCTAGAACAGGATGCCAGGTGGCCCCGGACTCTCAAGGGATGGAAGGAAGACAGATGGCAGAGGCTGGAGAATCCCGAGATGTAAACATTGAGGGCGAACAGCAACAATGCCGGTGGGTGGGGGGGAGGGTGTTGGCGGGAAGCCGAATTGTGCTCAAGGCAAGGAAAAAGTATCTGACTACAACTCTGAACAACAGAGGGATGGGCTGCTGTGGGAGGTAGTGAGTTCTCCATCTGTGGAGGTCTTTAGAGGGGAGGCGTAGGGATTCCAAACTCAGGCAATGGTTGGGCTTGACCTCTGAGGGCCTGTCTTGCACTGAGAGTCTGTGGACCTGTGCTGGTCAAGAGAGGACTTCCTCTGAGCAAGGGACTGGAAGAGTGTCCAGGCCTCTGAAGGGAGGCATAGGTTGGATGCTCTGGGGGTCCCAGGCCTTTCAGCATGGAGATTCTGTGATTGTTTGATGCCTTCTCAAGCAACCAATAAACATGGATTAGGTGCCTACTATGTTCTAGGCACTGGGTTAAGAGCTGGGTATACAAAAAGAGGCAAAAGACAATCCCTGACCTCAGGGAGCTTACAACCTAAAGGGAGAGATAACATGCAAACAAATACATACAAAGCAAGCTATATACAGGATTAAATCAGAAATACTCAGCAGGGAAGGCACTAGAATTAAGAGAGTTGGGGAAGGCTTCCTGTAGAAGGTGGGATTTTAGTTGGACTTAAAGGAAGCCAGGGAGGTAGAATGAAAGAGGGAAAGTGTTCCAGGCATGGAGGACAGCCAGAGAAAATGTCCGGAACTGATAGATGAAGTGTCTTGTTTGTGGAACAGCCAAGAGGCCAGTGTTACTGGATCAGAGAGTATGTGTATTGGGGAGTGAGGTGTAAGAAGACTGGAAAGGTAGGAGGGGGCTAGGTTATGAAAGGCTTTGAATGCCAAGCAGAGCATTTTGTACTTGGTTATGGAGGCAATAGAGGGTCCCTGGAGTTTATTGAGCAGAAGGGTGACATGATCAGACTTGTGCTTTAGGAAATCCACTTTGGTGGCTGAATTGAGGATAGGTTGGAGTGGGGAGAGACCTGAGGCAGGCAGACCACTAGTGGCTATTAGAATAATTCTGGTGTGAGGTAATGAGGGCCAGCACTAGGGTGATGACAGCATCAGAGGACAGAAGGGGGAGTATTGGAGAGTTGGCACAAAAGTGAAATTGACAGGGTTGGCACTATTGGATATGGTAGGGTGGGGTGAGAGAGAGTGAAAAGTCCAGGATGACCCCCAGGTTATGAGCCTGAGGTACTGGGAAGATGGCACTGCCGGCTGTAGTAATAAGGAAAGTGGTGGAGGGATAAGCTTTATGGGGAAAGATAATGGTTTTACTTACACATGTTGGGTTTAAGATGTCTACTGGACATCCAGTTTGAAATGTCAGAAAGGCATTTGGAGATGCAAGATTGGAGGTCAGTAGAGAAGTTAGGGAAGGAAAAGTAGATTTGAGAATTATCAGCATAGAGAGAGTAATTCAATCCATAGGAGCTCTTGCGATTACCAAGTATAGTATAGAGGAAGAAGAGAAGAGGGCCCAGGACAGAACCTCAAGGGACACATATGGTTAGAGGACATGATCTGGATGAGAATCCAGCAAAGGAGACAGAGATGGAGCAATCAGAGATGTAGGAGAAAAACCTGCAGAGAATGGCATCCTGAAAACCTAGAGAAAAGAGTATCAGAGAGGAGAAAGTGAACAAAAGTGTCAAAGGCCGGAGAGAGGTCAAGGAGAGCTAGGACTGAGAAAAGGCCATTGGATTTGGCAACTCTGAGATCACTAGTAGCTTTAGAGAGCAGTTTTGATGGAATGATAAGGTTGGAGAGTGAGCTGATAGATATAGGAGATAGATATTGTGGGATTGCTTGGTAGCAGTGAGGACCGAGGTGAGGTTGCATAACGTAAATTTGTAGCGGACCCAGTCAGAGCAGTTGTGTGATTTTCTCCACCTGTATTCAGCAGCATGTGTGTAGGGGCAAAGGTGGCGAATGGAAGGAGTGATCCAAGGCTGAGGTTTGAATGGGCATAGTCAGTGATATGATGAGAGGTTAGGGATTTGAGAGAGGAGGATGGTGTAGAGTCGGACTGGTTCCCCAAGGAGTCAAGATGGGGACAAGAGGAAAAAGTGGCCAGTGTAGGGGAGATGGCCTGGGAGAGAACTGAGAGAGAAAGGGATGGGAAGTCACGATGAGGATGGAGAGCAGGGCTATGTAAGGGACACAGAGGGAGAGGTGAAGACCAGTGGTTATGTGTTTGTACGTAACAAGGCTTCTAATCTTTCTATGTCATTGATCCCCTTTGGCAGTCTGGTGAAACCCAGGGGCCTCTTCTCAGAATGCTTATAAACAAACAAGACAAAATCCATGGGATTACAGAGGAAGCCAGTTACAAGGAAAAACTTTTCTCTCTCCACATATATAGGTATGTATGTATATGTACATACATACATACATACATATACATATATATTTTTCTCTCTTCCCCCCTCTCCTTTCCCTCCCTCCCTCTGTCTCTTTCCCTCCCTCCCTTCTTCCCTCCCTCTCTCTTCTCTGTCTCTGTCCCTCTCTCCCTCCCTATTTGTCTCTGTCTCTCTGTCTCTCTTTGTTCATGGACCCCAGTTAAGAATCCCTGCTATATAAGAAATATAGTTCGGAGGCCATGTGGTGTGATAGATAAAGGTTAGGCTGGAGGACTATTCGGGTCGAGTCCTGGCCGTGATACATACTGGCTCTGTGAGCCTGGGCAAGGCACCTTAATGTCTTGGTGCTCCAGAGGACTCTCTAAGGCTGTATGTTACTCAATGATTACATTGGTAGAAGGAGTTTAGTCACTGGGAGGTGTGAATAAACAATGAAATCACAGGTGTGGTAGAATTTTAGAAAAGGATGGTTAGGGAGACCTGTTTACTCTAAACCTTTCTATTCTCTCTACTCACATGCAAGGTCCTTAGTTCTGTTTAGAAGGACACTTAGAGGCTGTCTAGTCCAGTATTTTATGGGTGAGGAAATTGAGGCCTGTGAAAGTGACTTGCCCAAGGTCACACAGACAATAAGGTGGTGTTTGAACCTGGGCTCTTGACTTCAGAGCCAGTGTTTTTTCGCATGTTCCGATCCATCCTGTGAAGCTGTCAGATTAGTCATCTTAATTGCCCAGGTTTCCTACCAGACACATCACTGTCTTTTAGGGTAGGTAGGTGGCATGGTGGATACAGTGTTGGGCCTGGGGTCAGGAAGACCTGAGTTCAAATCTGGCCTCAGATACTTACTTAGCTGAGTGACCCTGGGCAAATCACTTAATATCTGTTTGCCTCTGTTTCCTCATCTGTACAATGGGGATAATAATAGCACCTACCTCCCAGGGTTGTTGTAAGGATCAAATGGAATAATATTTGTAAAGCCCTTTTGTAAAGTGCAGTGTGTGACACATAGTAGGCACTTAATGAATGCACACTGCAATGATGATGATGCTAACAGCAGAGAGAACTTCAGCTGCCAGCTTTAGAGCCAAGCCAGGGAGCACCCTCTAGGGCTCCCTCACACTTGAGAATTCCAGGCTCTGGTTTGTTCCCTCAGCCTGCAGACAGAAGAGACAGACAGACAGACACCCTCCACAAATACCCAGAACAAGCTTTCCGGACACCTAGCCCTGCAGAAAGAAATTCCAGAGAATTACAAACATTCATACACAAGAATGAAGGAGAAAGAAACTCCATGACCTGAGTACCCTAGGATTTGTTGTGTTTTTGTTGTTGAGTCCTTTCAGCTATGTCTGATTCTCCATGACCCCA